GTAATAGTAGCAAAACTGTCTACAGTACGGTACTGTACAGCAGTAGCATTATTAGGACGAGTAGCTAGTACTAATAGTAGTACTACTAATGATGTAGTTAGTAGTAGTGCTGCTATACTCCTAGCAGCACTACTAGCCAGTAGTAGTACTGGYGGTGCTGCTGCTGCTGCTGCAACAATCATGATCATTACCACCAGCAGCCAGCATATCTTGTTTGCTGGTGACTTTGTGGCTGGACAGCATCTACTACTGCTGCAGACATAGTATGCTTGAAGAACAAGAACATTCAGTGCCTCCCAACAAAGATTCTAAAATGTTCTTCTTCTTTCTTTGGCTCAAGAATCTTGTTGTTTCATTTTATTTGTTACTAGTAGTAGTAGTACTAATGGTAGTACTACTAGTAACAACAATAACCACCAGTGTTAGCCTTGAATATCACTTCTGCTGGTTTGTGGAGCGGAACAAAAGTCCTTGTTGATGCTATCATCTACTACAGGCCTTATCAATGAAAGTCTGCTTGGAATCAAATCAATTTGTTCTCCACAAAATATCTATGGCTGTGCTATTTGTGATGTTATATTAGTACTAGCTGCTGTACCTCATCTTGGACGTGCTCCTCGTGCATTCTATTAATCAGCATTCAAAGTACGGGGATTGCAACAGCATGCATCTTCTCTGATGCATATTAAAGACTACTACAAGAAGGCATCATAGCGTTGGAAAAACTTACAGAATTGGTGCCGTTTTGTTGTTGTAATTATTGTTGTATCATGTTCAAAATATATTCTATTCAGATATGTTGCCTCTCCAACACAATACAACAAGTATGAAAAACAGCGCCCAAGCTGGAGAGCATATGGATGCCAAAGCAGGTTCAAAAAAGCAAAAGACTCAATCGCTAAACCGGGGTGGACAATCTTCGATTGCGGCACATGGGGCACCAAACTTATGGTTGGAGCAAATGTTCACATCGTGATCTTTTGCGCAAGTGAAGCATTCGCCCGGGAGCTTCGAAAGGGTAGTACTAGACTGGCTGGKGGAGTTTTTGACACTGGATTGTATAGAAACGAGGAACCACAATAACATTGAAATGATATGGATCGGAAAATATTCTCTTTATCGAGACAGGAGTAACGACCTTATGTTTTGTTCGATGCGAGTCCCACCAATTGGTCCAGCGATACCGGTCTCCAAACAGAATCTTTGTGGCAAAATATCACGTCGCCCTCTAGATACAGCGGTAAATCGCCAAACAAATAAACCTGTTTTCCATCCTTCAGCGCCTTGCCTCCCATACGGGGCTGAAATAAAACCCCTCGGTCGCTGGCAAACTCTTCCACGACCTCACGAAAGGTCGGTTCCGCCACGTTGCGTCGTTTCAGAACGATCCGCGCCCGTGTCTCTCCTTCCGATCGCGATTCCATCCGAACAAAATCCTCTTGGATCGCTTGTTTCTCTTCCAGGGAACGCCTGTTCCAGATCGCGCGAAAGCCGGGCATCTGGGGTTCGAGTGGGTCCAATGCCTCGAGTTTTGCCGATGCCGCCATCGATGGGGATTTGCAAATCTGAATCATGTGCAAGACGGAACAAAAGATTCGGCACGTCTGCACATCGTCTCTCAAAAGACGCAAGGAATGGTCACAAGAGAATGCTGGTTTGTCACCTGTGTTCTTTGCCGGAAACGAGGTTATCGGAGAATCATCGGAAGACAACGGGTCTACAAGAACGCGGATCTTCCAGTCGCGATACACGCCGACAGCGGTTTCCACTGCCGGATCTTGTGTTCCGGTGGGGGCCGTTCCGCTATCGGATTCTGCGGAGGAAACCTGGCCCCAGAGAAGCTCGTGCACGCTCCTGGCCCAGTTCGTCAGCACGGGTCCCTCGATCGTGCTCAAAAAATCAACGTCGGAAATCATCTTCCGCCCGTGGAGCTCAAACAGCAGCCGGAGATCCTGCCAGTTTGGCGGTTCTTTCTCGCCCGGCCTCGCGGCGGCAGCATTCCAGGACGACAGCAGCCTGGCCAATCGAGAAACGACGGTGCTGTCCTTCGACACCATTTGCGGAATCGACCTTGCGCCCAGAACAGCTTGCCAGGGCCGCAGCAAATCTGTGGCCGCGACCACGTACTCTCGGTCGTTGCCGGGGGCGGAGAGTTTTCGATGGAGGAAGGACAGAGCCCCCCTCAGTCTGCGTTTGYAGTCCGTCACGAGGTTCGGAAGCAAGGCCGGATGGTCGATGCAGGGCAGCCAGGGCAAGACCCATAGGTGCAGCGGGTTTTCGAGGGTTCTTTTCTCCGACGAGCGGGAAAAATCTGGCTTCCAGCGCTGGATGCAGTTTTGGAGTTTTGGATAGACGGCAGTAATGATCAGCTCGTTGCGTATATACTCGGCCAAATCAGACTCCGGCTTCGACGAACCTTCCGTTTCCTTGTAGGCTTGTCCGGAGGGAAAGATTTGGTTCGGGTCCTCGTTTTCTTCGTTGCTCGGCTTGCCGCCATCGTTTGTGCCATCCCGGGCTTCGTTGTCAAAGGCAACGGCCTTCGCATGCAGGTACTCGTAGAGGTCTAATACCGCGTACGGGTCTCGGATCGGATCCCACCGGGGCGAGGATTCGGCCTCGATGTCGGCCTTCAGTTTTGGGACCAGCTGGTTGCGGATCATCGATTCGCACAGGGCCCGACTGTCCTCCCGGCTGGTCTTCTCGTGGTTTGTGGCACGCTCCGGGGACTTCCATTCGAAAAAGGAATCGACGATGCGCCGATCGTCTCCGGTCCGGTCCWYCCCGGAGGAGGCAAAAAGGGGGTTCCAGTGCTCGAGCGTGGCGTGGACGATCGGACCCAGCAGTGTTGGTGCCAGTACGTTCCAGAACTGTAGGTCTCTGCGTTCTTGCGGGGTAAACACGCCTTCCAATTCGGCAACCAGTTGTTTCACCTCGAGGCGAGCGGACTCGAAGTTTGCGTTTGCGTTTGTGTTTTCGTTTGTCACTGTCTTTGCCTTCCCCGCCGCCGTTGCCCCGGACACGGTTTGCCGGACCCGATCGGTGATCTCGTAGGCCTTTCGGAGCTTGTCGAGCCTGGTTTTCGCCTCGAGGGACCGGTCCTCCAGGTCCCGGATGTCCCGCTCCGCCTTCTCGATCTTGGGCAGGATGGAGGTTTCGTGGTACCGCGCGGACGAGTGCAGCTTGTTTTCGTACGTGTTGAGCAAAAAGGAGAGGTTGTACATGAGTTCCTCCCCCAGCGCAACGCCACTCCCGGTGGGCGTGGCCTTGGCCCTTTCTGCATAGCCGGGTCCCCGCATGTCGATGATGACGGGCTGGCCACCGGAGGCTCCGCCGCTCTGTTTCTTCTGGCGCTCGATGAGTTCCGCGTACGGAATGATTTCCGGCGCGTTGCCTGTTTTCTTCTTTTTCTTGGATCGCCGGGCCCTCCAGGATCGATTCGACAGGAGATCCTCCGTCGACGCAATGGCCGAGCTGTTCATGGTCCTGGTGGGATCATCCTCGTCGTCGTCATCGTCGTCGTCACCGTCGTTTTCCGTGTCGCTGCCGGGGTCTTCCCCGTACCGCTGGGCCCTCTGGCGGCGGCGTTTCGCCCGCTGCTCTTCTTTTTCCTTTCGGAGCTGCGCATCGTAGTCGATTCCTCGTACCTCCGCCTCGATTCTCCGGTTGGTCTTGAGCTGGCTGGCTTCCTTGAAGTTTCCAAAGCCCAGTCCCATGTTGCTGGGCCGGACCACCACCTCGACGGGGCGCGATATCCCCTTCTTGACGGACCCGGTCGCGGGGGCGGTGGATTCCGGCCGGGCGGCCCCGGGCGTTGCCCCTTCGGCGTTGTCCTTCTCGTGGTCCCCGGACGGGGGAGCCTCGCCCCGAAAGCACCGCCGGTTCGACCCGAGGCCGCCGGATCCCTTCCACCCCATCCTGGAGAGGATCTTGCTGCCGAAGCCCTTGGTGTGCTTCTCCCAGGTTCCGACGGTGGGGTCCCTGGCACGGGGGGGTTTGGTTGTGGACTCCCCGTGGCCGAGGCCGCCGAAGCCAAGCCCGCCAAAGGAGGACGGGAGTCCCCCGAGGGGAAGAGCCGGTTCCCCCGGCCCCTTTCCCCCCTCCGCGCCCGGTCCTCCCGCGGGGGCAGCCCCCCCGGCCCCTCCGGGCCGTGAGTCCCGGGATCTCCGGTTCTTGGCCCGGGCCTTTTCCAGCAGCCCCCGGAAGCGGTCGTCGGCCGCCCTCTGTTCCTCCGCGAGGCGGTCGTCTTCCTCCCGTTCCGGGTCCGGGGCCTTTTCCGCCGTTGTGGCAGCCCCCGGCTCCCCGGACGGCGGGGTCTCCCTGGCTTTGCTCGCCCCCGCGGCCACGAACATCGGGGCCGGGGGGCCCTCTTCCGGCTCTTTGGCGGCGGCGACAAAGAATGGAGCCGGGGGCGAGGGGTCTTCCCCTTGCGGCTTGCTGGCCGCCACAAAGACCGGGGCGCCCGCTCCGACCTCCCGGCCGCCGTCTCTCCCGGTCTTGTCCCCGCCCTCGCCCTCGCTCTCGTAAAAGACCCCGTAGATGGCCTCCTCCTGGTTCTGTTTCCGGCTCCGCTTGCGCCTGCCGATGGACCCGTATCGGAACTGGTGGCTCCGGAAGCCAATGTCGGCGTCGTCGTCGCGCTCGGCCCCCTCGATGCCGTCGACGTCGTCGTTCCCACCGAGAACGGGAAGGTCCTCGTCGCTGTCCATGGCCTTCCAGTCGTTCTCGTCGTCGATGTCCGCGTCGTGGTCGTGGTGGTGGTAGCCCTCCATCCTTTGTTTGTTTCGTTGCKTTCCTTCCGTGTTTGGCCAGCAGAGGGATCGATCGATCGATCGCACCCAMCCACCCGTGCAGGAAACCGCGAGCGGGRCTCTCGTCGGGTCTCTGGTCGTTGTYTGTTGCCTCACACGTGCCGTGCCGCCGAGTCTGGTCGGAAGGGGTCTGGTCCGAAGAGGTCTGGTTCTCGTGTACTTGTATGTGTCGAAATGCAAGGCAAGGCAGGTGATGCGGGGTGATTTTTGTTGTCCCGTTCCACGAAACCGTACGGTAACGTACGTATGGAACATATGGTAGTAYAATACAGTAGAGACATCCATTCCTGCGTTCGCACGAGTGCAGTGCAAGTTTCCAACCCCGCTTTTGGCACAACGCCTCTCCCCTAAAATCTTCGTCGTCGAAAAAAAAATCATGTGTTTTCAATTCAATCCAATTCTCATCTTGCTGTGCGATACTGGTACTTCTTGGAAGACGGGCAGCGCCGACAATTCGAGAAACCATGCCGGATGCGGATGCGGATACGCCGGGTGCCCCACGGGCCGTTCGGTGCAACCCCCGGCAAGAACCAGGGGTGCCTCGAGCCCGGTGCACGATTCCGGCGAGACGCCACCGAGCCACGCCACCGGGGCCGCAATGGATCTCCCGCCGCCTCGGGTGGGCCGTCCTGGCGGTCCTCGCTCCCCTCTGCGCCTCCGGCTTTGCGGCAAGCCGTTCTTCCCTGCTTTGGCACGCCGGTCCCGGTGGAAGCACACCCCGGTGGCGGCGGGAACCAACCGGCACCGTTCGTCGTTCGGCCCCGGGGGGCAGCGACTGCGGAGACGGCGGCAGCGACACAAAGCTTCCGGAGCACCTGGTCGTGGCCTCCTCGCTCTCCTATCTGTCCTCGGCCGAAGGCAAGATGCAGGCCTCTCCCCTCTTTTCGGGKGCGGCGGAAGCGGGAACACCGCTGGAGCCGCTGGTGCAGGTCGTCGACCCCGACAGCGAGTCGGGCGCCACCGTCTTTCGCTCCGGAATCGGCGGAGGCAGCGGGGCGGCAACAGCGACGACCCTCGTGGTGGCCTTCCGGGGGAGCGCCACACCCGTCAACTTCTCGACCAACCTCCGCTTCGGCCTCGTCCCCCTGCGCGGGGAGGACGGCTTTGCCACGCCCGGGGCAAGCGGGAGCGATCCGTCCTTTCGGGTCCACGAGGGCTTTCGGGACGCCTCCCGAGGGCTGTGGGAGCTGCTGGAGCCCGAGCTCGACGCCCTGCTCCGCAGGGAGGAGGAGGAAACGGGGAAGGGCGTCCGCCTGTGGTTTACCGGGCACTCGCTCGGTTCCGCCACGGCGCAGCTGTGCGCCGCAAAGCACCAGAGCCGCCGGCTGCTGTGCAGCAGCGACAGCGACAGCGGCAACGAAAGAACCAACCCCCTGGCGGGGGTCCTCACCTTTGGCGGCCCGCGCCTCGTCAACCGCGCCCTGGCCAACCACTGGAACGCTTGCCTCTTTGGGGCGGAAGGGGATCCTTCTTCTTCCGTCGTGGTGACGAACTACGTCCACCACCGGGACCCCATCCTGAGGCAGAACGGACCCCTCTGGGATTCCCTGGGCTTTGGGATCCTGGGAACCGAGGTCCTCTGCGAGCACGACCGGCCCGTGGCATACGAAAGCAGAGACGCGGGATCCTCCGCCAGCGGCGGGGCGGGCCTCCCGCTGGCCTGGAACATTCTCGACCACTGCCGGTACCTGGGAGTCTTTGTGGGGCCGCGGCTCTTTGGGTAGCGCGAGAAGACCGCCGCCGCGGGCGCCGAAACGAAGAGCAGGACHGTTCTACTAACTCGTAGTGCTACTGGTGTGGTCTGCTGCACCCAACCATTTTTTTTCGCGAAGGTCTGCGACTGCTTCAAACCCTAATGTACTAGAAACAGCACTAGTGCAAGCTGCTCTGTTCTGTTTTTGAATCTCGTGCTTCCGAAATTCTCGAGTAGATTGGAGCAGTGTGCCATTCCTTTTAAAGATAGTTAGTTCGCTTGATCAGATTACCTTGATCAGAAGGATTCTTAGACTAGGTAACACCACCACCACTGCTTTTACGGCGACGAACTAGGATACCGGTAGCAAGGATTCCCCCCTCCCAAGACATTTCCTGCTTCTGGCTCTGCATGTCAATCGTTCCTCCTCCTTCTTGGCTATCACTGACATTTACTGCACCTACTACGAAGAAGATAGAGAAGGGTCAAGACAATCATCAACCTGGGGTTGTTCCCTAGACTCTTTCAGCWCAGCGGATAATCCCCCTTTGTTCACTAGCAGTTCGCCAGGACCRATGATTGTTATCCTCATTCATTGCGCTSTCAGCAAAGGTTCTATCCCTCGATTTACGAACAACAGTAMCGGTATGTACGAGCAAAAGTTCATGCCTTCAAATCGAAATAACTTCAAATTGCTTCTTGTGCACTGGCAAGACCATGTGCAATTGTTGTGAAACCCGTAGTACAGGTACGAACTTTCCACCTTGCTGGCACTACTGYAACTTAGTTTTTGTTCTGTTAGAGAGCCAATTCTTAACTTCAACTGTTTTTGTATGAAATTGTATGAAACTCGTCTTTCATACGGTAGTACGAACCGTACGGTAACAAAAAATAACAGAAAATAATGAAGCACTGTAATACGTATTTCAAGTCTCGAAAGAGAGCAAAAAGTTTAATTTCGAAGCTACAGTATCGTACGAACTGTACTAGTATTTCGAAATACAAACTCATCATCGGATGTATGTGKGATCAACCGTTCGAATAGGTTTGGAATATTATGGTATTGTACTATGTACAATCCAATCCAAAGCAGCGGCACCACTTTTCAAGATAACATCGATGTTCCCGAGCCGAACAACATATTACCTTTCGACATTGACGCCGACGAAATCGACGGAGTGTGTGATAATGATRAYGACGATGATGGTAGTTGGTCGCGAGAAGATTTGGTGATATCGAATCGTGTTTTGGAAMGATCCCAATTGTGGCTGTATCTATCCCACTTCTTTGCACTTTTCTCCGAGGACTACTGGCAGTTTTCGGTCGTTCTTTTCCTTTCCGCAATTTCCAATTTCCAGAGTATTCTGTACATATCAACGTTTGGGCTTTCGCTGAATGTCGGAAGTCTGTTTGCCACACCGTGGATCGGCAGTTGGATTGACCGAAGGCCAGCAGGACACAAGCTGGGCGTCACGCAACTCGTATTGGCGGCCAAACACGTCACCATAATTATGTTGGCAGTCTTATCTTGGATGATTCTACGGATAGCACTGCCCCTCCCGCAACCYGGGGAAGACAATACAACATCTTCCGACAGTAACGTTGAAAGCATACCTATTGGCGGTATGTTCGTTATTTTTGCAATCATCGTTTTTGGAACAGTGGCAAGAGTTCTCGATCAAACCTTTAACAACATTATCATCGAACGCGATGTTGTGGTTGTTCTCAGCGAGTGTGCTGGCGGCACAGAACAATCTCAGACAAAATGGCTTTCAAAAACAAATGCCGCTTTGGAACGAATTAGCCTCGTAGCTAAAATTGTGGTTGGCTTTCTGGTCTTTGAAGAAAACTATCAGCTCACGTGCTTGTGMATTGGGATTGTGGCGACGATTGCCTGGATAGTCCAGTATATTTGCATCGCTAGGATATTTCAACTGGTACCGGCCCTGGAACACCTGAAAGACGATGGCTTGCCGTATGTTGATAATATGGATGCAGTGGGTACACTTGATGTTGAAAGAGACTTTAATCTCGAGGACGACGAACAGGAGGATATCGYAGTCCCAAAAAACCGATGGTCAATATCCATATACCTCGAGCAATCATTTGTACCAGCGGGAATAAGTCTTGCGCTCTTGTACTCAAACTGTGTTACATTTGGGAATGGAATGCTAAGTTCGTATTTGCTAAATCGAAAAATACATGTTCGAACTATTGGAGTACTCCGAGGCATTTCTTCTGGTGTAGGTTTATTGGTGAGTGAATCTTGTAATTTTAAGATAACCTGTATGCGCGGGCAACTCTGCACACCTGTACTTTTTAAAAGTCTTAGTAGCTTACCAGATGTTTGCAAAATGGCATATTTCTTTCAAATGTTGGCTTTCCAAATATGTGTTCAAGGGGACTTTTGGCTACACCCTTATGCTTCGCTTTTGCAGTTTGGAGACAACTGGCTTGTGGGGAGTTGCATGGCAAGCCTTGTCATTAGGGTTGGCATCCATTTTCCTATCTGTGAACCATAGCAAAGACACACTTACCAATGATATATTCTTACAATTGTTCATTATTTTGGTCATAAGCTCTCGGCTTGGTTTGTGGATCTTTGGTATTTCTGTCATCCAACTACAGCAGCAGGAAACACCCGAAAAATACCGATGCCTTGTTGGKGGTGTGCAGGAATCCTTAAATGCCCTCTTGAACATGATTGCCAATGGTATTGGCCTAATTTTCACRCATCCAGATGATTTTGTCTACATATCTACAAGTGGATTCATCAGTGTCACACTTGCCTTTTTTTTCTTTTTCCTTGGAATATTTCTTCCGAGAAGAAATGCGACAAGGGAATTGCAAACATGCAATAATGGGAAGAATTGAACAAGATGTTGATGTAGACCCAAAAGGGGTTGTTGATACTCTTGCATTCCATTTTTGTATTTAAAWAAGAAGCTTATATTACAGTGCAGACTGTGTACTAGTGAATAAATTGATAGCAGATAATGAAGAGAAAGTTAGTGTAGTGTCAATTGATAATACATGCAAACAGTATTTTCCACAAAAATGTAGCAATTTGGTTGAAAAAAGAAAAAACAGTAGTATTGCTAGTAGACGTGTAGCAGTATTTGGGGGGTACCAGTAGGCCTATTACTGTTTTTTGGTTGCATGGAAGCAATCATGAGAATGCAATTTTAGTTGCAATTTTCGCATACAGTAAACTTACGGTACCGGTACGTACGACATGCTTGTATGAAATTACCGTAAGGTACGTATGTTGGAACGTRCGTGTGATTGGTGATTGGATCTTTCCGGAGGGTTTTCGATGTTTTTTGAATTTGAAATTTTTCAAAAAAATCTGTTTTTATTTTTTGTGTTTCCCCTTCTAATCTGCTAATGCATGCTGTAACCAGTAAGTAAGTTACGGTACGGTACAAAAATGCATAGGGCGGACGGATTACGCTTTTTGCGACGGCACCCGGTTCGGTRGGCTAGAAGGATTATGTTCCACCACCGAAACCAAAACCGCCAGACTTATACAGTAAGCAAGAAAGTGCGTACTCGTACGAGCACAGAATGCCGGTGCACCGGTCGAGACACTGCTGATCGGCACCGGCTCGTCCCWAACGATGAAGCGGGAGAGGTCCTTTCACGGCCGGGGCCTCTTGGGCCTGGCGCTCTGCGYCGTTCTCTCCTTTGTGAGCGTGTACCGGGAATCCCTCGACACGCACGCCTTTCGGGAACAACAGGCACTCCTCTATTCCTCCTCCTCCTCGGTCCCCCGGCACGGGAACCATGGGATCGACGGCAATCCCCCCGCCGGGGGTGTCACTGACAATGCACCCCTAGGGTTGCACCGGTCGGATTACTACCAGCACGAGCACGAGCACGAGCACGAGCACGAGCACGAGCACGAGCTCGAATCCGAGTACCCGGGGCACCCGAGACCGAACGGAAGGGGTAGCAACGCCACGAGCGCGAGCATCGACCGCACCGGGCGAAGCCAAAGAGCCCTTCCCCGCGTGTGCGTGTTCCTGGCTGGAGGGCATCCCCCGTCCCACTCGTGGTCGTCGGAGGCATCGCCGGGCATCTTCCGGCAAATGGCCTATCTCTCGAACGAGAACAATCCGTTGTCCTCCACCCCCGATTCTTCYGCAACGGGGGCCGCGAAAGGCGACAAAAAACGAAATCGAAATGCGAAGGGRACGGCGGCGATTCGATTTGTGGTGCTCGCAGGAGAAGACGGGATTCCGGGGAAGGATTCCGACGCAYATCGAACGAATCAAACGATGGAACTGCCTCTGCCGGCGCCCGCATCGGGGGGCGAACGACAAGAAGCCTACAGGGACTTTGAACGCGACTGGTTTGAGAATTGCGAAGCCGTGACAATCGATAAGACGGATGCCGATGTCGGCAGCAAGAAGAACCAAAAGCGCAAGTCGCACCATCGAACAGAAAGCTCAAAGCGAGTCGTTCGACCCACCTGCAATTCCTTTCACGAACTGGATGTTGTGCAGGGRTATTCTGATGCCGTTCACGCCGACGATCCTGGAAAGCGATCCCAGAGCATCGAGCTTCTTGGACAGGGATCCTGGAGAAGCGTTTGGAAACTGAACAACAACAACRACGACGRCGRCGACGGCGACCACCACAGCAGCGTCGTTTTGAAGCTGCTGCATACCCACCACGACTTTGACGAGTATTCGTACTCTATTCACGAGATGGACGCCATCGTCATGGAGGCACTGACGGCATCGGAATACGTGGTCGATAGCTACGGGTTTTGCGGCCAGAGTGTCCTCACAGAAGCGGCTACCGAGTCGGGGCGATCCTTCATCAAGCGCAAAGAATGGAGTTGGAGAGACCGCATCAAGATGGCACGGGATCTRGCCCGTGGGCTGGCCGACCTCCACGCCTTTGCCGCACATCCGTACGGCGACAGAAGCAACGGGAATCGGAAGAAGGAACAGCCGCCGCCGCTGCCTCTTGTCTTTGCCCACCACGACGTCAATCCGGCCAACGTGATCGCCGTCCACCCCGGCCGGATTCGGTGGAACGACTTYAATCTCGGAATCCTCAATCGATACTATCGCAAACCCCACGATCCTTCMYCGACAGCCCCGGAAACCAACAGCAGCCACAAGCAGGCGGGGTCGAGRCTGCCATCCGACTACAAAGAATGCCCGACACCGATCCGGTACGAGCAGCTCCTGTGGAGATCCCCCGAAGAGTGCTACAACCAAACCGGAACGCTCCTTCTCGACCCGGAGAACAGCGGCAGAAACACCGCCGCACAGGCCGCRGATGTCTACAGCCTGGGAAACATCTTGTTCTAYGTCCTAGCGAGGCACCAGCCRTGGAGCCACCTGGAAGAAGACACRCATCCACCGAGCGGCAACGAAACCACCGAAATGGCATCGAACTCCACCMCTTCCGCMAAACTGGACACGGGCAGCACCCTCCAGAACAAGAAGGATTCCCTCGCGAGCATCGGGCGGGCCAAGGTCGGGGGCAAGCTGCCGAACCTCCCCGAGCGCTACCTGGCGCGGAMCGAGGCCAGGCTCCTGTGGAAGGCCGTCCAGAGGTGCTACGAGCACGATCCGACACTCCGACCCACGGCCCTGGAGGTTGCCGGRATTCTCGGAGACGCCTACGAGAAGGCGCTGGCCTACCACGATCGCGACAAGGGGAAACGGAACCAGAAATCCAAGAAACCAAAACCGAGATCCTATCCAAGAGCAGAAGAATAGACCCCGGACAAGAACACCGAGCACTACCGCTGAGCCCGGGCCGCCTCTTCTKKCGCTGGCGTAGGCAAGAACCGCAAACCATTCTGTACGGAGTGCAACCGCCGAACCCCAATCAGTGGCGTTCGCTCGCACGGCGGAAGAGCTTTGTYTGKGCATTCGACGAGGCAGTCTGTTCGACGATGCAGCGCCTCCTTCTGCTCTATGGATTCCCCGCGGTGGAGTACAAAGACAAAGCAAAACACGGTTGCAACAATATTCGTGACAGAGATAGTACTTCTCGCAATGATTTGCTGGATTGTACATCTCTGTGTTCTTCCATCATTATCTGACGTGATGCAGGCCAATGATGTGCGAATCAACGTGGCTGCCCGTCACAACTGCTTTGGTGATGGTGACAAGATCAAAAGTAGCGTTCTATCCCTAGTTTTGCTCAAGGTTTCGTCCTTCTAATTGGTACAGTAGTTGTTGGAATGCATTCACGTGATCCCGCGGGTCCACAAGAYACCTTTGCTCTGTAGAAGCGTTGACAGTACTTGGTAGTACAGTAGTACGTACTACGGTACCACTAGCAAGAAATCCAGTCTGTGCTTCATCCGTTTCAGCTGGACGAAGCAGCTCGTTTGTTTGTCATCCGTTTTCTGGAATTGAATCCTTCCAAGATTGAAAACTGTTCGYACCGTGCGTCGTAGCTTCCTASCGGAGAGAAATTCAATCATGCATCGCGATCCTCTTGCGGTCGGTGGGAACACCCGTCTCCGGTTTCGTGACARTCCGTGACGGAGATTGTTGTCCCGTACAACGGTTTGAACAACGTGCGATTGCGGTTGCTCTCCCAGAGATCCTACAAAGCGCAACGGAACSATGTCCTACGATTACGACGCCCTCGTGGCGGACATCACCGAGTCCCGGCGGTTGGCGAGGGAAGCGGAAGAAGCCGCGATCGGGACGAAGAGCGAGGGCGGAGAGCCAGAGAGTTCGGAGGCGCATGCGCAGAGCCAACTCGCAGTCGTGGAACACCTGACGACCTCCGTCGACCGGTTCGAGACCCTGAGCGGCCACTGTCCYATGACGCCCCTGCTCTGGATGCAATACGCCCTGGACGCTTCCGAGCTGGTGCGGATGGTTTCGGAAGAGGCACCGGGAAAAGGGGTGAGCAACGAGGCCCTCCAGACCGGGCTCCAGTTGCTGGAGCTGGGGTTGCACGAGTTTCCCGGGTCGGCAGTCCTGAGGCTGCACTACGTCGAGGTGATGATGGCATGGGCCGGGGGTCGGCTTGGGGAGGACGTCCAAAACGACCAAACCCAAGACGCCGTCGARGAATGCAAAACGGCTCTCGAAAAGGCCATCGAGGTCCTGGGAGACGGATCGCATCGCAACGAATCGAGGTTGGTCGTGGAGTTTTTCAAGCACAGGTGCGACGTCGAGCGATGGMCCGGTAATGATAGCAACARAGACCTTYTACAAAAGACGATATCGGACTTGTTTTTGAAACGAGCTGCGATTCCCATGGGCGATGGTGTCAATGCAGGCCTCGGCGAGGAATACGCCAACTTTTGCACGAATTCGTTGAAAACTGCACCGGATGCAACCACACTATCTCGGATCGAGACGAACCGTCGATTGGAATCCAAGCACTTTGGGTTCCTAGTGACCCACGAAGACGACATCGATGTTGCCTTGAAGATGGAAGCAGGAGTTTCCAACCGGGATGGCATCGATCGGGTACTAGCAGCGAATTCGGACAGCGACACGGASGCTGACAATCGCATTGATGCAACAGCAGTTCTTTCGAAATGGAAACGCATTCTGAACCAGGAAAGTGGCAGCRATTCTACAGGCTGTTGGATGGCATTGGGCGGACCGCACACGGCGAACGCATTCGTCAAATACGCCMAAGCCTGTATTCGATATCGAAGTCCCCGGGGKWCCTACAACGATGAAACCATCGACGAGGAAGAGAAAAAGAACGAAAGTCTACTTGCCGCGAAAATCAAGAACATGTCCTTGTCGATCTACGAACGGGGGGTTGCCGAATGCCCGACGGTCGAATCCATTTGGCTGTCTTATTTGCAACAGCTCAACTACCTGATCGAACAGACGGAAGTGGAGCTCCGCGAGGCAAACCGTGCCGAATCCACGGCAGCAACAGAAGCACAAACCACCGACATTCGACAACGGCGATCGAAATTGCTGGCAGACGCTTCTGCGGTAGTCGATCGTGCGATACGGAACTGTCCGTACAGCACCGAGTTGGTAAAGGTCAAACTCGTGCTCGTCTTGCGCCGTGTCAACGCTGGAATGCTGGTGCTGGATCCAGAGAATCTGATGACGGAGCTCATCCTGAAGGAAACACTCGCGAATGGATTCGTCGTAGCAGAATCAGGGGAAAACGGTCCGGCTGCCGCACTCGAACTATTCGGGGCCCTCCTGGACATTGTTCGGAAGAGGATATTGTTCTTGTTGGCGGAGTTTGATCAAACAAAAGTGACAACAACCACAACGAACTCTCAAAAGAAAARATCAAAGACCACGGTAACAACCACACTCCAATACGACGACCCCGAATCCATCCAAGGGATCTTGTCGCCAAACAAAGCTAATCCTGGTGATGCTTCAAATGGGAAGCGGATGAGCGACTATCTTCTGCAAGAGCTCGAAGATCTTTGCATTGATCTCCGGGAAATATTTGACGAGGCCGAATCSTATCTGCGAAAGAACCAAGGAAAGTTTTCCAACAAAACATCCATCGAAGACGGTCGTGCCGCACTCGCCAAAGAAAAAGCCCTCACGGAAACCCACCTGGTGGCACCCCTCCTTCGCACGATACAATTCCTCCAATCACAAAACGACAACGAACTCGAAACAAGGCGAGCCGCACAAAGCAAGGGCCGAGAGACACTGGCGGGAGTCTTGCGACACCACGACAAGGCAGCAAAGATCGTACAGCCGATYCACCCGAGTGTCTACTTGTCTTACATTCAAGCGTTAACGGCCTCGAATTCCGTGGTTTCCACAATACTGTCGTTCCCTACCGACGTTTTGGCCAATTTGCGGCGGCTCCGATWTCTGTATCAAAAGGCACTCAAGTCCGTTGGAAAACCCAAAGACAGAAACAAAAACGTGCAAACATCCTCGGCAGGAATATCCGAAGCAGACGAACTCGATTACGAAACATCCTTGCGATGTCTTTGTCGAGATTATCTGATGTTTGAACGGCATTTTGGTTCCGCTCGATCCTACGAAGATTGTGCCAAGTCTATACAAAAAAAGATGGCCAAAACGTTCGCTTTGAACCGCAACAACAATGKCACAGGTGTTGCAACAACGATCGTCAACGAAGATTCAACAGCAATTCCGATGGATCTTGATAACAGTCCTTCTAGTACTATGGAAATACCAGACGAAGCAACCCAAAAGCGGAAACGGGAAGTTGACGATGAACCTCGAAACCAAGAYGAAGAATCACCCAGTGGCAAAGATCTCTTACCACCAACGAAGAGGAAAAAAGAGGAAARCGACAAAGTCCAAACTGCTCCAAAGTCTTCGGAGCTGGCCGAGAAAGTGTCCAATCCAACAACCTTYAAAGAAATCGAAGAAGCCAAGGGCAACCTAAAACATCCCAAACACAAGGTAAAGGTAGGAAACCTCGAGTATCCCGCACATCCGTTCACCGTTAAGGTCTCGTTTTTGTCTCCAAACACAGAGGACATGGATCTAGTGGATGTCTTKCGTCCAAAATGCGGGGCCGTGGTCCACGCCAAAATAATGCGAGAAAAACACCATCACCACGGCAAGAAAGGCAAGTCCAAGGGCTGGGCCTTGGTTCAGTTCGAGGAACGAGAGTCGGTGGAAAAGGCACTCGCACTCTCGGACGTTATTGGGATACACATGAAATCCGTTCGAATCGAGCGAAGCCAYCTTCCCGCGGTGGGCTTGGTYCCCGCTGGATTGCACCGGGTCAACCCCAAGGGCGAAGGGAAGAGTACSAAACGRAATCTTCAMAAGCGAAAAGAGCAACACGACATTTCCAAGAAAGGGTCGAACWATGCCCCCACCGAAAAGGGGGAGACAAATGGTCCTCCAGTGGAAGGGAAAGCGAAGCCTAGTAGGAGTAGCACCAAATCTACCGGGTCTTCATCGGGAGCAAGTATTTTTGCCTTTCGTCCCCGTGGCGTGGCTTCAAATATGTCTAGAAAACGAAAGTCCAAAATCAACATATCGGAACAGAAAGAAAAACCCGAAAGATAGCGACACCACTTCATAGACTACCGTACTTTGATAAAATTGTAGTATTTTATTCCAAAAGGATTCCTGCTTGGTGCAAACCGTTCTCACCTTTCTACCTTACGGTACCTTACGGTACGTACGGTACGTGCCATCCAACTCAATCGTGAAATGAAGAAAAAGATACAACCAACGTTCTGTTGTACCGGTACAGAAACTAGTCTACTCGTACGAAGTACGTACATACCGGTACGTACGTATGTTATCTACATCTTCTCAAYGAAATCGGGACTCTTGAGATTTTAATCACGAACCCATCGCAAGGTGAAACAAAAAATGTGAAAACCTCGCACGCACCACGCTGTGTGCACCATGAAGAACACAATCCACATCATTACCCCGAAGAGAACCACGATAAGGTACCGTGCGGCACAAGAACCTCTGAACAAAACATCACATTGTTTGCCAACCATTTCAATATGGAAATTGCCWCTCACGGAAAGGCAAAAGTTCGGCCAGCCACACCGAAACGAGGAGCCGAACGTCGATGCCACAGAAACTACTTTTCGACCCGCTATGCCGCTTCTGCCATATTGATTGTATCGCTCTTTGTTCAAAGCCAGCTCGTTGTGTTGCTAGATCAGAAGGCATCTGACGGGAACGGTGATGGGGGATTTTTTGTCTCTGCCTTCCTCGGCTCGCCGGTTCCGGCTTCGAAAACCTTCCCTCGCACCGGTCGCCCGAATCTGGCGATTGATGRAAAATGGAATTCTCTGGCTTCTCCTGCCTTATTCCTGAGACCTRACAAAGACACAGGGACCGATGCGAACGAACACGAAAATCAGACTCCCGGAGACTTGTCTTTTGAACCTTTGGCAGAAGCAGCTGYGAAATCCGCAACGATGTCGCCCATTCCAATGACGCCTCGGAGCATTCGAGTGGAACGAATGCCTAGATTACCGGTGTGGCCCGTTTGGGCCGGAGTGATTGACTTTTTTGTGGGATGGATCTTTGGTGCCGAAGCGGGGAGTCGACTGGAACAATATTGGCTGGGGGGGCGCGTCTGTCCGATGCAGCTGGACGGAAGATCGACGAGTCCCTTTCTGCTGTTGGTCCATCACCACCACAATTTTTGGAAGTGGGATGCTTTGTTTCGCAAGCTCTCGGCTCTGGTCTTGCCGGAAGGATTTCCGGCCCATCCCCACCGGGGATTCACCACCCTCACGTATTTTTTGCCAGACACAAAARGGAAATCAAACGATGGCAGCGGAGGAGGAGGGTTTGTGCACCGCGACTCGATCGGCGTCAAGCAAACCTACGGAACCAAAGGTACATACAAACACCAGGCCCAGTGGTTGTTCACGGGGTCTGGCATGCTCCACGAGGAAATGTTTGATTTCTTGCAAGACRACTTTACCGGCAACCAATACAATTCTAGGTATGAACTCTACCAGCTGTGGGTCAACGTTCCGGGACGGCACAAACTAGATCCGCCGAAGGTCCAGCTGTTGCGAACCGTGGACGGCAACGACGAAGATGCCACGGAGGGAGGAGCCGAAAGCGAATCCGAGGGAACCATGCCGAATATTTCCACGACCCATACGGTTGAAAAATTGACCACAACGTGCGATGTTGTGGTCATCGCTGGGAACTATAAGCCAAACGAAACCGACAATAAGGACAACAATGGAATTGGAAATTCGGTTTATCAAAGCGAGGCAGCACCGCTTCATTCAGATTTGAGTGTTTTGCATGTCACGGTTACGGTCACAGAAGCAGAAACAACCGAAGAAAGCCTCGAGACACTTTCCTCAAAGCAGGAAATAGGTTGGACCTATGATATTCCCTCGGATCACCATACACTCATTGTCTACGTTCGAAAAGGGTCTTGTATMATGGAGACGATTACAACACCAAAAAATAGTCGCGACGTGTCGTCGCGGTCATCATCTGGAGCTACCGAAGTTCCGATCCACTCGACTGTCTTTATGGAGAAGAACAATSGTTCACCAGCGGAGTCCCATGTTGTGCACGAACAACTCATTGTTCGACCAAGCAAACCCGACGATCCAGTGGACATATTGGTCCTATCGGGGCGCCCCCTTTATGGAGAAGCGACATCTAACTCCGGTGGTAGTAGCGCAGTCGTTGAACCGATAGCAATGCAGGGAAGCATGGTTATGAACAACGACTTCCAAATACAGGAGGCTTACCGGGATTACCAGATGGGTCAAATGGGCGTACCGTGGGATCACGAATTGAACGACGAACAATGGACGGATCACGTCCGTCAAACAACGTCAAGAACAAGATAATATTAAATAGTCGGTATCAACTGATTTCTAGCGTAAGGTTTAAACGATACAGCTTGGACTGATTCAAAATATCTCTCCTCATTCGGAGGTTAAATAAGACTTGGATTTGAAACATACTTTATTTGAAGGATTTTGGAAGCATTTTTGTTTWTGTACTTCTACCATTTTCTGTATTTGTTTTAAGTTTTGATTTTATTAATACATACAGTTATGAAAAGGTAGGTTCTTGTAGGGGAAATCACCAATCTTAGTTTGAATGTGGAAGTTTTCCTCATCGTTGGGGGCGACCTGGTGAATCGCGTACGGTTTCTTTTCTTTGGGAGCTAYAGTCTCGGATTTGAAACCGAACATCCGATGTTGGTATTCGRAAATTGGATTCTATGGGTCCTGAAAACACCTGTCCTTATTGAATCTCAATTTCGAACACTCCAGCTTTATCAAAAGTGCTTGTTGCTTTCTAGACAGATCGTCCCATTTTTTGCCAACAAGGGATCGCGAATATTCCTTTCGATCCCACGTTTCCTCGTCGAAGCCCAGCATTTCTTTTACWTTCACCTGCATTTCCGCGGGCAAATCCGCCCAAGAAAGCTTGTAAAACGACTTTGCGATTTTAAAGCTCGGGAKTTCGATGCCATAAAGCTCATCGAGATGAGGCAGAATCTTGCTCGTGCAGTTCTTCATCAACGGATTGTTCTTGAAAAAAGGAATATTCTCACTGAGGATGAACTGAGCTCCAAACTGCTCTGCCTCGTTTGACTTGGCGATTGGGAAGCCCATGTAATCCACTAAAAGCCTCCAATATCTCGTATTTTTGATCCAAATCCTCTTGGTTTCATCTCGCCGGACCAAAGGTCCCATTGAATCAGCTGGATACAAACCATGAACTTTTTGACAAGGATATTCCTTGGCGAGATCAATTTCGAAGTTATCAATGATGCATGCCTTGTTATCATCTAGATCGGGACAAAACATAGGGTGTTCTTCTGTTTTGCAAGAATGCCCCTTGAATATGTTGATGCCTTCGTTGTCGAAAACACGGAAGATACTCAAAACATAGTAATGCTCGGGGCCATACCCTACATTTCCCTTTGATGTGTACGAATAGCTTATGGATGACAACGAAACGTTCCGATGAGCGACGTTGTCAAAAATAGCAGAAAACTTACGAAGGGCGAGGACAGAATCATTGATCATGCCATATTCGTCGTAGCTCCCTGGCTTCAAGCTGTTGTATGCATCGCACCACAAGCCAACATCATATCGATTGTTCATAAAGTATTTTGATTCAATTGTCACCTGYCCATTGATGAAGTGTGGAATATATTTTTTGGCAAGGCGAATGACGTGACTGATAAAGGGCTCGGCCCATAACGGAGCCGTTATGATTACGTGGTCAACGGCCTCTGTAAAGCATTCCAATTCACTCCATAGGGTYATGATGCGGATTTCACTGCTGGGTACAGCGGCAATGATCAATACTCGTTTTTTGTCCGTAGGCTTTTTTGGTGCTTCATATACATAGGACCGGAGGGATTTATCATTGTCTCCCGTCCTTTGATACCAGGACTCAATCTTTTGGGTGTCGTTTGCACTTTTGGCGTCACAACGATCAAATGACACATTTGGTATCCATTTTTTTCSAAAGTTATTGACTCGGTTTCTATCCTTGTATTCCCTTCGTATTTCTTCGTCCCAAGTCGCTGATGAATAGACAAAAACATCCTCCAAAACCTTCCTTTGCTTTCCCGTGAGTTCGTGCCATTTCTTCCCCCACAATGGATACGGGCGACTACGAGGTTGCTCCCAAAGATGGTAGTTGTATCCAAGCTTGATAAGCTCTTCTCTTGACTCCATGGTCTGCTSAACCCAACCATAATCTTTGTAGGGCCACCAGTCCTGTTGGTCCTTCAAAAAGCCGTGCCCGAACCACTTACGACCAGGTGTTTCGTTGTACAGAGCAATGTATTCGTTAATGCGCCATTGCTTCGATATACCCCGTCCACGACAATAGCCAACGTCTGTTTTTAAGTACTGTATGAGKTCGAATCGAGGGCCGGCATGCAGCTCAATATTGCCTTTGAACCGCTTACGATTTGGCAGTCCGTCATAGCCCCAAGTGAAKTGTGGTTTTGTATAAAGATCACAGGGTCTGACTTTTGGATGCGAATGAGCCCAGTGCTCTGCCGAGTAACGCTTCCTCCCATCGCAAGCCAAAAATATATCTCCATCGTCGTACTGCATTCTGTCCATGGCCAACTCGAATTTCTCCGGATTGATAAGCTTCTTRATATAGCTACAACGCGCCACCCACATGTTCCCCGAGTTGTGGGGATGGGGAATYGGTGAGAACCGCCCGCTGCAAATGTTGCAGGTGTCTATTGGCATGTTCGCACATTCCTCCGAGAGCGTGCTTAGTGTCAAGAAGCGCCGGAGCCGTACGTTTTCGCTCGTTGCGGTGAAACTCCCCTTGCTGTGCAGGTAGGCCACCTTTTGTTCGTTGTGTTCCGGGACCTGGCAATAGTCCCACAACGCCTTGAGCGTCACGTGCTCCGAGGCTTCCTTGTAGTGGGCCAGGAGCTCCACGGGATTCCGGGTGGTGTTGAGGGGCGGYATTCCATTGGAAACGTCGTCTTCATTGAAATCGAGGGGAACGCCGATCGAGTTGACGTAGACGGGTTTGTGGACGTTTAGAAACTCACCGAATTGCTCCGCCACAATTTTCTTCACCCGAACGAGATCGGATTCTTCTTTTATAAATAGATTGTAGAAGATTGGGATGTCCACTTTGTTTGGGCTTGTTTCATACTCGAAGTGGTGTTCTATTTGATCCTGGATCACTTCTTCGGGTTGGTTTGCTAGTTGTTCGTTTGAAAACACCGGCGCCACCTTTTTCACAATTCCAGCGTTTCCAGTGCCCGAACTCTCTCCGGCAAACTTGCGGAAGCTGAAAAAGTTTGAGACGACCGAGAACAMTACGGCGGYAATCAGTGTCTGAATAATAATGCTTTTAGCGCTGTGYCCCATAGTGGAAGATRTGTGTCTATTGTCTCGGGAGTTGCGTTGAATGGGCGAGCGCGACTTCGCACGGTTTCGAGATCCCACCACTGTGATGGGGACGAAGCGTACTCGAGATCGTAATCACAAGGTTATGATGGCGTACGTAATTCKTCGAYGTTGTCTCAATGAAACCGGWTGAGCTGCCAGRCACAGGTTTTGTTTTTGTTTTCATAGATGGCTTGCTACGAAAACTTGGCGTACCGGTACGAATGGTAATCCTATTGGTTACTGTACTTCATTCATAATGAAGTGCGAGTACGAGTAATATCWTCTGGTAGCACGCAAGTCTGAAAATCCGTTTTCAAGTTTCTACCCAACTACGATTACTATCGGTATTGTCATWATTCGCTTCTTTTTAGGACAGGACTGTCAGGTACGCAAGTGCACGTGCCGTGCTCGTGATTTGATKTACCGCCATCTTATCCCATACAGAAAGACTTGATGGGCCACGGAAGTTATTTCCGTAAATCTTATCGAAAATTAAGACCAACTTACTCTAAGCGAAGACGAACACTGCAACTCGACCAGACTGGAACTTTTAAAAAATTAGAATGACCCTTGGGTTCGCATACGGTACAAAATCAAAACTTGTGTGAGTATTGGAAGCGAAGGGCAGACGGGGACCCTTACGAAACTACGCGTTACCGACGAGTACTCCAAGCTACTGGATAGTCTGACTAAGTAAAAAAGCAGCAACAATTTCCACGTGGAATAAAAAATTGACACTCACAGTGTGCTCATCCGCTACTACAGTAATAGAGAGTGTATGGGAACCAGATGTCACCATCAGAATTTGGGAGGTTCTACTAGGAAACCACCATGGTTTTCATTTTTTTAGGAGCTATCAGAAAACTACTTTAAAACTAGTAGTACCTAAAGTAGCTTTAAACAACACCAACAACAAGTAACTTTCTGGGGGTGGTACTAATTTCCTGCCCCCTGCCCCCTGATACTAGTAGGAGTACAACGAATGGGTAAATACATAGTATATACATATTTAAAAATTTGCTGCATTTACTACTACTAGTAGTACCATTCCCATAGAAACTTGCAAATCAAACAAGCAAGTAATGTACTACTGTCCAGCATGATTGTGGAAAAATTGATTGGTTTTTATTTTGTGGTCAAAATAATATCCTTTGGTTGACCCAAAAACTCAGAAGTTATAGAACACTACTAGTGTACTGCTACTAGTGGTATTCTAGAGCTCTGGAAAGCAGCTTGTTGCTAACTGAGTCATCCCCCAGAACAGCACTTGTTCCAGGATTACTAGTGGTTGGGGGAACAGCAGTGTTCCTACTACGACGAGGAGTAGTAGTACTAGTAGTACTTCTAGTAGTACTAGTAGTAGTTTTAGTAATACTACAGATGCAGAACCCCAACCCCAACCCCATTGTGCTCTGTTCTAGCATGAGCACCCTTAAGATTGATTCTACAGGCCACAATCTTGATGGTGTAATTGCAGTCCAGCCCCTTTTTGTTGTCTGACCAATGCTTCCCACCACCCATTGGAAGCAATGCTGGGATGATGAGTTTTGTGATGTGGCAGGCTTTGATAAGATTTTCATGTGTCTAGACCCCATTACTCCTCCTCTAAGTGATCTTAATCTCAATTGGGTGGATAAGAGACACTTCAATATTAGAATCAAGTGGCCCCTGTATCTGATCAACTACTACTTTCAAATAATGTCCCCATCTTTCCAAGATGACATCCCTCTAAGGTTGGAATGGGGAAGAATGATACAAAGAAAGTCAAGGAGAATGATGGGGTGACATCTTTGAGGAGAGTGTAATCTACTTCCCTCAGAAGAATATGGATACTAGTACTTCCATCTATGGGCCAAAGATTCTCCAGCAAGGGGGACACAGCAAGAATGGTATCTCTGCAAAGCTACTACTTTGCATTTTCAATGAGACAAGGAAGAAGGGCTCTGCAACACCTATTGTAATTGAAGCGTGGAGCAATACTGCTGATCTACTATAGAAGCTAGGAGAGGAAGAACCAGCAGGAAACCCCTCCACAAATGGATACAGATTTGGATTTGGATGATACTGCCTGATTCACACAGTATTGATTGCTCTTCATCAACACCTTTCAGACGAACACTTGCTGGTGTTGATCAAGAAACGAATGTTCCGCTCACTGCTGGGTCTTCCTCAAATATGTTTCCCAGAACCTCCTCCCAACACACCCAGTCCACATATCTATTTTCAATGTTAAGTAGAGGAAAACAACAGGCATAGCACTTGAAACATGCCAACTACTATTCTCCAGCGTAATTGTGTTTTGACTGTTAGTAGTACCATGTGGAATTTTGTCACTGTAGCCAAGTTGTAGCTCTAGTAGTCTAGACTTACTGCTAGAGTCCCCCCAGAAGGAATATATAGTAGTAACCAACCCAACCAAACTGTTGTACACACAAGTGTTATCTCAACAAGTCTTGTACCAGTTACCACCACAATGATACAAGACATAATGAGACAAAGTACCACTACTCCTGCAGAGAAAGATTCAACAACCCGTTGTTCTCCGACCTTCAATACTAGTAGAATAACAAAAACAGCATTTTTGCAAGAAACAGTTGTACTAAGTGATAGTATAATATACTACTATTTCTGGTTGATCTTTCAGTTTCTTGGTATCCAGTTGCATTCTTTCTAGTAAAACATACAGAAGCAACTTAATGTTTGACCAACTCATTACAGCAATTACTGCATTCTGTGGCTGAGGTTCCTTTTGTCTGGGTCTACTAGACTTTTGCAAGTTGTAATAACTTATCAGATCCAGAGAGTGCAAAATTTCACCTTTATAGCATTTGCTGTATTGAWGATAGTATTACAACTACTCTTATGATCAACACTTCTTCTTTTGTAAGGGGATAGGTGCTGGTAGTACCCTCCTACACCATGATCATGCTACCAGTTATTGCAAGGTCACTAACTTCTTTGAGCGCCAGCACAAACACTACTRCTGTTCCTATTACCTCTTTGTTCCTTTTAGCTATTTTATGATTGCTAYAACTACCTAGCGTGCAGATTTGAYCTCACCAAACTCAGAAAGTAGGTACWAATACAATATAGACCAATAGAACTAGATTCAAAAGGGTGCTGTTACAAACAAAACCTCTAATCCAAATCAAAGCTTTGACTTGAAACCAGATTTTAAGCATGGTCAAAACTTCTTCATTTGCTAGTATTCGTGAACTGTTCCGTACTTTATCTCCAATATAACGGGACAAACTTCAATTTAATTGTATTTGACCTCCATCATCCACAGCAAAAACCTCGACAATCAATATAGCGATACACCTACGCTTTGTTTCATGCTGAATTTTATACCACTGCCGTTGTATCCGAACCATCCTTCCAAGGGTGCGCGGACCGTTGCARCCCAATTGCCATCGGTCCACTTCACGGCAATCGAATCATTGGGATTCCAARTAGTAGTCACTGTGTCAATGTTGGTGCCACGTCCGAGATGGCGAGAGTACGAAAGGTTGAATCCATCTTTGATGTTCTTGGCTTTTGCTGTCAGAATTGGAACTATTTGGTTCCGGCGTTCTTTGCCAAACACCTGAGAGAGGGTGAATTTACGTTGTCGAGCGTCCAGCTTGATGGAGGTGTTTCGGAGCGAATATCCGACCGTCGCGTCGGGAACCTTGCTTTGCAGATCGTATAGTGGATTTATCTTGATACTTCCGGGCATACCGAATGGYTCCTCGATGCTCGTGCTGGCCATTACTGTATCRAGAGCAACGGATTTAGAATGCAAATCTGAGCGAGTAAGGATCGTAAGAAAATTCGTTGAAATGTGGACGCATGTGAGGGATGTATTTTTTGTATCCTCCAAATTTGTATGCATCGAGTAACGAAAACGATGGTTTCGATCCGATTTGTATGYTGCATATGGTATCAGCATTGTCTTTTAAAACCGATATTMYATCCCCGCATATTTATCTCAAACCTTAGAAACATTCCTCTACATGTGTATCGAAGCAAATATGATTGGAATGGTACATACCAGCKGATCCTAGCATCCGAAGACCCACGGCATGGTTACGAAGTGAATTTGCATTTACACGAAGATCCAAATCGATCACATCTTGCTCATTTGCATTAATGTCACCGCGGAGTGCAATCGCASTAGCCTTGTTCATGCGTTTTACTTCGCTCCAGACATAGGTCTCAGGAGCTCTATTGATGGCCGTCAATGTTGAGTCGATGCCTCCCTATTGATACGTATGGTAGTTTAAAAAAAGAATAGCGATGTGCGCCATATGTATGAATCAGAATTGAGTTTTGGACAATAGTAATTGCAAGTCGTTCTTAACCTGAGCAAAAATGAAAATCGAATGACAAGAAGTCTTTCATCCGTCAAATTTTCTTCATCTGTTCAAAAAAGGCCCGGCCCGTCTTCTYAWAAATAGAGTTCGTAAYCTTGTCATTTCTCACCTGCAGGTCAAACCAACCTCCGATTGAAATCTCTTCGGTGTTCCATATCACGCGAGGTGCTGCAGCACCGAAGGTTCCAGTTGTTGTATCGTGATCGAGATTCAGACCGATCTGAGAATTAAGTAGTATTTTGCGTCGAAAACATTTTCAGCAAACACCAGACGAAAAACAAGGAACGAACAAAAAACAGGGTAGACGGTAAATACGACGGGAAAGAAAAACACGAATCACTTGCGTAAAATTGTCAGCACAAGGAACTTTCTATAGGTCTTTCTATAGGTTTTACGACGTCAGTGAATTGGAAACGCACCGAAATGTCGGGCTTGGGAATGTTGATRCGTCGAACTGCTACTGTTTCTCGGAGGAGAAAAAAGAACAAGACCAGACCGCTCGTCTTCGCTGCCATTTTAAAAAAGTGAGTCAATGCTGCTCTTTTTCTACGTAATTGTTTGCGTCTGTCGCAAATTCTGCTCCGATTGGAAAATAAAGCTGCAATCAGATCGGCGTCCACAGTCGATTGATTGCATTAGAGGAAAAAAGTGAGATTTGGTGAAACGGATTTTTTCGAAAATGTTCGCTCTCGAAAGATCGTTTTGCAAATTCAAAAGTGACATAGACGACTCACTCGATCACGTGGTCATGAAAAAGTTCGAAATCTACTTAGGCTCACATTCATAACCCCTGCAAAATACTCCCTATTCGTATTACTATCCGTACGTACTAACTGGTAGTAGTACTCGTACTCGTGCTTGTGCTTTCGTACCATCCGAAAGCCGAAAAACCAGGGGTCATAAATTTAGAGTACGTACTCGTACACGTACTCGTGCTTGTTCTTTCGTACCTTCCGAAAGCTATATACCGGTAGGAGGGTCCCAGTGCAAAAGCATTCCACAACTTACGGCATGATCAAAATTAAAGAAGACTATCCGAACAAGTTGAACTAGCACAACCAGAAGAATATTTACCAGCAGGATTATAGGCAACGATGACAAACGACAACGATGGCACAATAGACAAAGATGCMAAAAAAGGTGATTCTACGTCGTTTGTCATCACCGGATTTGGCCCATTCGGAGGTGTAGACGAAAATCCCACGACGTGTATTGTTCGTCAGCTGGA